GCCGAGGCGACCTGGCTCGAGGAAACTCCTTCTGAGACGGAGCAGAAGCAGAAGGGAGAGGACAAGGCTGGAGACGGGAACTATCCCCGCCCTGGCAGCCCTCGGAGAAGCTGCCGACTGCGAAGTTCGTTAGCCTGCTGTGAAAACACAGCTTCAGCTGCCGGGGGGGGGGGTGTGGGGGGGGTCCGTGCTCTGTGTTTGCACTTTATGACCCAAGGGCAAGGAGCAGGAAGAACGGGGGGGCTGTCACCGCCACGCTTAATAACGGCAGCTCAGCACCGCGCCTGACGGCTGCTCCCGGCACTGGCACACCATGTCCCCGACACAATGCTGTGTAATTTGCGACATATTTTAAGCTCGAGGCTAAAAAGCAATTAAATTTCTGAGAACAAGCTAAGCAAAGGCAGAAGGCGGCCTCCAGAGATCCTGGCTGTCCCAGAGATACCTGTTCACAGGCAGGCTACAAATCATCATTCAGCGACCCTCCCAGAAGCGCCCAAGTCACCGCACCAGCCTACCAAACAAAAAAAGACATCCAAGAACTGACCACACGCTTTGGGGCAAGCTTTAAAATCCCCCCAAAAGGAGCAGGGACGGGCCCCCTTCTGGAAAGGCTGCAGGCAGAGGTGCATATTAAACCGTTTCCTCTCTCACCAGGGTTAAACCCCCCGTGAAGTCTCCCCGGAGCGCAGCATCCTCCGCTCCCTCACAGGGAACACAGCTTGGAGGGGATCCTAACGAGCAGCAAAGCCACGGATTAGCATCAAGGACACTCAGAGTCTGTGTTTGTTTTTTCAGTCCTTTTCTTCCCCTTTTCGCGCTCCTGGGACTAAGAGCCTGAAAATTCTGCTCTGCCAGAATGAAAACTGGTTTGGTGGCACAATGTCTAGGGTTTGCACATCACTTTGGCTGAACCGCTCCTACAGAGAACGCTGAACCGAACACAATTTTTTAAAAAAAGGGGTGCTTGGGGCAGCGGGGGAGGCAGTGTGTGTGCGAGCAGGGTGGAGGTCACAGACCAAAGAGTGGAAAAGCTAGCTAATATCCCCAAATAGCAGCGAGAGCGAGGTCTCGTGGGCAGATCTTCTCACTGCCCCACGGCAGAGGGAACTGCGGCGTGGCAACTCACAACTCGCAGTGGATCTCAGTTTCTTACTCATCACACTGACAGCAGCTCCGACACTTGACAAGCCTTTAGATGCAGCCACAGATACCCACAGTCAATCCTCCTGTCTTATAAACAAAAGAAAAAATAATCCCCCAGCAGGTTTTGGCATCACAACCGATCCACGTAAAATTTTAGCTTGCCTTTTAATGATGTTTTCATAACTAACTCCTAATAAATTAAGCAGATTCGCCTGCTGGAGAGACGATGAAGAGAAATCAAAGGTTTTAAGAGTCTGCAATTAAGAGACCAGAATTTGAGAAATCTCATTCAAAATTAAACATATCTATCCAAGGCAACTAAACAGCTCTCTGGTGCCAGCAAGTGAAATATTTCCTAAGCAGAAGTTCATTCTCTTCATTCTTGCCCCAAAGCTGCGAGTCCATTTTAAAATACAACAGTTATTACAGGAACAGCGCCAGCGTGGCGTGTGCCTGCCACCTCCCCGGGGACCCAGCAGAGGAGGCCACCGAGCGCCCTGAGGGCAGACCCAGCTCCGAGCTGAGCTGTCCTGCCAGCATTCGCTCCCCAGACCCTGCGTGTAGCTCCATTTTCTTCCCCAGTTTCCCACCCACGAAGCCGCAAGCACCGAAGCCAAGAGCGAACGCGGGATGCTGCGTGGAGCAAGGGCCAAGGAAAGACTCGAGATGCTCCCGGGACACTTTATGTTGGAATTTACCTCTCCTCTCCCCCAGCTCCCCGAGCAGTTTCGGCGCAATGTAAAATTCTAAATTGCACACAGCATCAAAACCATTGAGCCGCTCTGAAAAGCTGCCTGAACTGATGAAGCTTCTAACACTACCATGTAGCAGTTTTCAACCCATTTACTGATGGCATTAATCAAACGCCCCGTAAGGAAGGAAGAGAAGAAAACCTAGCTGCAGGCGGCTGTGGCTCCCTACGCCGGGCTCCCAGCTCCATCACAAAGCATTTAGGGGTGCTGCAAATCAAAAGGGACAGCGGCACAGGTGGTAGATTTACTTCCTTGCAGGACCCCAGAGAAGAAAAGGGTCTGAACAGACCAAGCTTCTGTTCACTTCTGCACTGGGAAAGTGATGCCTTTGCAAGGAGCGTCCCTTTTTTTTCTCCAAACAGAAACAACAGGTAAATGTATTCCTGGTGAAGTCAGATGTGTTTGATGGCTTTTCCCCCTGTGAGATCCCTTCAGGTCTCCTTGCCCCCCAAGAGGAAATCCAGTCGAGCCTCTGCTCCGTCTCCAACGTTCCCTGCTCAGGATAGCGGCAGTTTGTGCCAGGTAACTCTCTTCACACGCAGCCCAGCAGCACGCAGGGCTCCTGCACAGCACCAGTTCCCACCCTTCTGCCAAGACACTGCTGCTTTGGCGCAGCGAAGACCCCAAGGGCAGAAGCACAAGTGAGAAAGGAATCTGGGAATCAGACTGCACCAGGACTTCGCTACAAAACCAACGGGCTAGAGCTGCCCAGAGCAGGAGCAGTGAGGCTGGAAGAAGGGACGTGTCGCACAGCAGTGGAAACAGGGTTCAAACACCCCCCCCAAACCTCCCCAGCTTCTGCTGCGACCGCTGCAGCTCTTTCTCAGGCTCTGCTACCCGCACAAAGCGCGCAACATTCCGGTGTGGAGCACAGAACGTCGCGTCCAGCTGTCACAACGAGACCGCGATGGATCTCAGTACCAGCAGACACTCTCTTGCAGACCTAGAGCATCACGCACGCTGGGATACTGAATAAAAGGCTAAAAAATTGGGTGGGGTGGGCACAGAACCAGCCCCAGCTCTCAGACAGACAGACGGACGCACAACACACCGGCAGTCAGTCCTGGCTCAAGCAACTGTCCCACCGCTTAGGCGGCCGCGTGGCAAACCAGAGCCGAGAGCCGACGCCAAGGAAAACAACCCCCGCTACCAGCCAAAACACCTGCGTGGTGGTTTAGGGGACCAATTGTTCCCAAATGCAAAACAGAAGGAAAAAAAAAAAAAATAAAAAAAAAAATCTTCTGCAGAGCGACTTCTGGGCCTGGCCCACGCTGTGGACTCGCAAGAACACGGCGACGAAGGCGGCGGCAGGGGGGGAAGAAGTGGCTGCGGACGGAGACAACCGGAGCAGGACGGCTGCTGAACAGCAACACCGCAGCCCCAGGCACCGCTGTGAAACCCCCGAGCGGGTTATTAGGGGAACTTCCTACCAAATTTCGACTCCAGACCTTGGTAAAACCTCTGTCGTTCATCCAAGCGAATAAAGAAATACGCAGATCCAGATAGCCGGGATAATAAGGAATTTTTTGTTAATAAGCTTGCGGCATGAGGCAGGGCGGCTGCCGGGCCCGAAGTCCCGGTGATTTGCACGTTTAATATCTCAGGACAAACCCGAGCGTGAATTTTTCTGCCAATCCTTGTGCCTGAAACAGAAGGGAGACTACGTCTCTAGGATAATATTTTTTTAACATCTGCTACCTAGGAGAGCAGGACGGCAGCTGATACCGACTCTAGAAACGCAACCTGGCAGGGGAGTTGCTCCCCTGACACCAAACAAGCAGCGCCTTGCCACCAAACAGAAGAAAAAAAAAAAAATATATATATATATATAAAAATAAATAAATCTAGGTGCTTCACAGGTCTAAACAAGATCCCTTTTCACAGGCATTTCACTACAGTTTACGCACACAGGTTCAGTTGGGCTTTTTTCTCCAGAATTCAGAACCGGGGGGCAGGCAACATGGGGGTCCTCCTCACTCCCACTCCTCCTCCTCCTCCAGGGTGGGGGTCAGGGGAGAAAACTGCACTGAGCACCGGCCCGGCTTGGCCCATCCCCACCGGGATTTCCGAGGGGGGCGCCGGGGGAGCTCCGGTGGGACGGGACGGGACCCCCGGAGCCCCCAACCCCCAAAACGGCATTTCCCGGCGTTCGGAGGAACCAGGACCGGGACCGGGACCGGGACCCGCCCCCCTCGCCGACCGGGGACCGGAGCTCAGCCCTTACGTGTGTGCGGGGGAGCGAGCTGCCGCCGGGGCCTTCCTCCGGTTCTTCCTCCTCCTCCTCCTCCTCCCCCGCCGAGGTGCTGTCGCTGCCCGAATCCTCCAGCCCCGAGTAGACGCTCTCCTCGCTGTCCGTCAGCTCCTCGCTGTCCCCGGCGGGACGCGGCTGGAAGGGAACGGGGGGTGAGGAGGGGGTGTTGTCAGGACGGCGGCCCCCCGGTCACCGGAGGGCACGGAACCGAATCGAACCGAATCGGGCCTCCCCCCCGCTCCCAGCCCCCGGGCCGCGCCCGTAACCATGGCAACGCCGCCGCCGCCGCCCCGACCTGCTCCATGGCTCCGTCCCGGCGGCCCCGCGTGCGCCGCCGCCGCACCACGTGGGCGCGGGTCAAAGGTCACCGCCCCGCCCCGGTCGCCGGCCTTTCCCCCCCCCCCCCACCCCCCCACCTTCAGCAATGCCCACTGGGAAAAGAGGGGAGAACAAACACGGGGGGGGGGGGGGGGGTGCGGGGCAGGGGGCGTCCGCGGTCCCGGTGAGGGGAGGGGGCGAAGGGAGGGAATAATTGCGGAGGGGTCAAAGGGGAGAGGTGACCCGGCACGCATGCGCGGGAGCCGCACGCCCGCCGCGGCGGGAGGCGCATGCCCAGAAAGCGCCACCGGGCGGGGTGTCCGGGTGGTTGTGAGTGGTGCGCATGAGCAGAGAGAGAGACGCGCGGTGGGGCCGGGAACGCGCATGCGCGCAGGGGGGGGGGGGCCGCGGTTCGGCGGCGCCGCGGCACGGCGCACGCGCGGGCGCCAGCTGACGGGCAGAGGGCGGGGCTGGCGAGGGGGCGGCGGTGAGGGGGCGGAGCCGCGCATGCGCCCGGCGGCGCCGCGCCGGGAGGGGGCTTGCCTCGGAGGCGTCCCAAGATGGCGGCGGCCATGCTGGGCCCGGGGGGTTGCGGTGCGCAGGCAGCGGCCCGCTCCCGCGGCGGCGGCCGCCGGCGGCACTGAGCCCCGCACCGCCCGCCCGCCCTCCCGCCGCCGAGCCCCCCCCCTCCCCTCCACGCACACACCTGGCGGCGGCTTCCCGCGGCCTGCAGCCGGGCCCTCGGGGCGCAGCGGCGGCCGCCGCCATGGAGGGGCCTGGCGCGGCGGCGGTGGGCGCCGGCCCCGGCGGCAGCAACGTGCCCGCTTTCCTCACCAAGCTCTGGACCCTGGTCGAGGATCCCGACACCGACTCGCTCATCTGCTGGAGCCCGGTGAGTCCCGGCAAAGGGGCCCCACGCGTGTCCGCGGCCTCCCCCCAGGCTCTGGAGTGCTTTTCCCAGCCGCGGGCCCGGGCCTCGCTCTTCACTGGCGTGTCACGGCAGCGGAGCGGCTCCCTGCGGTTCCCCGGGCCTCGCCGTCGCTCCTGCCCGCTCCTAATTAGAGCTGCTGCCTCTTCCCCGGGGGTTACCCCGCCCCTGTGCCTCATTACCCCAGCGCCGCAATTCCTCAGGGGGAAATGAGCTATCCCGTGTACTTCAGGGGAAAAAAAGTGGCGTCCAGGAGCTCCTCTAACTGTGCCCGTGGTCGGGGATGCTCTGCGGCTTTTAGCCGTGTCATTATCACTGCTGTGCTGCAGCCCCTGCTCTTTCTGCGGCGCCAGCCTGATGTGTGGATGCACCGGGCCTGGTTTTCCATCTTTTCTACTCGCTTGGGGAAGTTTTCAGTGTTGCCTAAAAACCATAGTATCCAGAGCCAAATGCCGCAAGCCACTTTCCAGCGGCAGTTGCCTCTGTGGTGTTTGCCTGAAATCAAAGGGCAAAAGTTTTCTGCCTGTTTTGATTCTTATCTCACAGACCAAGCAGTTAAGTAGAAATAAATTCTTGCGAATACTCAATTCCTCTGTCTCCTCTCTTGCTGTATCGCCTTGCTTTGACCTGAGATCAGATGTTTGCTACCAAAGCTATTGAGGGAAGAGGAATGTGCTAATACTGGTAAGAGTGAAAAAGGATTGTCGTACTGAGGTTTGACTTCAGATGAGCGTGAGGAGCTGAGACGAGTGGAACTGCTGTTCATGATAATAAAGCGTGAAAGATAAGGACCAAAATAAATGCATAAACGCGCTGGGAATTTTTTCTTTGTAACCCTTGATTGTAGCTGCTCTCCACCAACTCGAACTGTTTGCTTATCTGGCTCGATGTGGCAGTAATGAGATGAAAGACCTGCGCTGTCTGCTTCCTGCAGATATTGCATTGCTCTTAGCTTTGCAAGTCATCGCCTCTGAACAAACGCCTTGTCCTCTTACTAGAGCAAACAAAGATTTAACACCTTGTGTTAAATAAGTTTGTGTGCGTTTTTGTGTTGCTAAAACGCCGTGAGAAATTGCATTTCGGGCCGGGGGATGGATGGCATCACCTCGTTCCCCATGCCTTTGGGAACTGCAGTGCACGGGCAGGTCGCTTTCCTCCTGGGAGCGGGTGTGAGAGATTTTTTGGGGATACTGTGAAAACTTTGGGCCTCTGTTTGGATGCAGACAGATTTACTGTTTGGGCGGTGGCTAAAATAAGCTGTGCCACTGGGAATATGGAGTAATATCCATGCAATTAGTATCTACATGCAAATCAGCATGCTTTTGCAAACAGGAATATATGCTTTGCTTATGTTGACAGGTGAAGAAAATTGCCTGCATCTTTGCATTTCTCCTTGCCCAAAAGATTTTTGCAAGTGTCCTGAGTGGAGAAGGAAAGAGATGGTGTTGAGGCTGGAGTTCCTGACTGCTCGCTTCCGTCCCTTGGTGCAGTTTGCTGCCCCCTCTTCTTCAGGGTTGTTGCTCATCGGGACCGTTTTGGTCTGTAACGCGATTACCCCAAGCTGTCTGGGGCAAGGGAGCTGCTGCTGGTGGGTGAGCGTGAAAAGGCAGGAAAGGGAGATTCCTACGCTGGGTTTGCCTCTGATTCATTGATTGTTTACATTTGAAGCAGTGTGCTGGGTGAGGCTGCTTCGCAGGAGCTGTCCAGGTACATGCTCTTGTCCTGCGCTAAACGTGCCACCTCCTGCTTTGTTCACTGAGCGATTAACTGCCTTTATTTTCTGCGTGTTTGCTGTGGGTCAGAGGGTGCGTGAGGAGCTGTGCGATAGCCTGGATAGCCCATATTCAAACTTTATTCCCAAGCAGATCAAAACTTTATGCTGAGCTTCAGCCCCGATCGAAACTTTATTCCAGAGCAGCTTTGTCGGTTCAATATCTAGACGGTTGTTTTTAACTCCTTTAGACTATGGGTAGGTGGACAAATCTCCTAGGTCTTGGCAAGAGCTGAGGAAACACAGTCTGGGCAGATATAACTCTTATATTGTTAAGTCTTAGATCCTGATGATCTTCACTTCAGGAGCAGGGTTATACGTTGTGTGGAATGACTGCCTCAGGTGTCTAAGCTCCTTATTATTCCTGGTGTTGAAAGTAAATGTTCTGTGAGTCGACTGGATCTGTGAAAACCTGGAAAGATTGGGTCTTCCCGAAGTAGTTCTCTCGCTCCTCTTGTTGATACAGACTGTGATACAGAAACAAAGTAGTTGATTATCCTCAGGCTTACTCAGGGAATTGGTAGTTGATTATTCTCAGCTGACTGTGTTTAATTCCTTTCTTTTGATTGCCTTTAGTAATAGGTGGAGGAAATAAGCAGTAGGGGTTCAGGAATATGGTCCTCTAAGTGCTCGCAGTGAGGAAAGGGATGTTTTATGTGTGTTTGAGGAGAAATCATCTCAGTAGAAAGCATGATAATGATTTGAACCTCCCGTGCGGTGCCGTCACTGCAGGTCCGAAAGGCGGGATGGCTTTTAGGTGCTTGTCATGTCCTCGCCATCACATGCTGCGAGAGCCGGGTTTCTGCCCTGCCTCATCCATAAATCCCACCGTTACCTCAAGTGTAACGTTGCCACTTTCCATTCAGAGACTCAGATTTGCTAATCACGAGGCCAGAAGTGTCTGGGACTGTACCCCAGCATGCTTGTGCTGTCACCAGCCTTGTAACGTCGCTCACAGATTGTGTAACCGCTCCCCACAGTGATGGTGTGCAGGCCAAAACCATAGGAGAACTTGAAAAGAGTTCCAGGAGGATGGATTGTTTTATAAAACACGCCTGGATGTAATTTCTGCCCTCAAAAGTACCGGCAGTGCTGTTTGCCAGTAGATGTTTGTTAGGGAAAGTTGATGCTGTCCTGCTCGGACTTTTCCCCAAGGGTGTGAGGTGGCATCTCGTCTCTCTGGACCTCGGTCTGACGTGGGACAGCAGGTCTTGTTAACTCTGCAGCAGATTCCCCCCTGGAAATGACCAAATTGAAGTGTATTTGGGGATATAAATAATATGACTAATTGAAGACTAGCTTATTTGTGACATTATTTGCTACGTTTACCTCCTCCTCCGAGGCATGCACTCACCCCAGCTAGGAGGGGGCTGCTGCCAAGGCGTGCGGACTGCCTTTGCACCTCTGCTAGTGATCGTGGGACCCTGGTGAGTGGATTTAGGTTTTTGTGCCCCACGGGTTGGTTGGGGTTTTTTCCTGTATATTTTTCTGTTTAACTAGTGAGTTTTAGTGACTTGTCCTGCTGCCATTAGTGCTGCAGATAATGGAAAAAGCGTACCTGGGGATGGGAGGAAGAAGGGAACAACCTTTGCTGGTAGCACCCGCCGGTTTCAGTTGAGTTGGAGAGTAAATGATGGAACGGTTTGGGTTGGAAAGGACACTAAAACTCATCTAGTTCCAACCCTCCTGCCACAGACAGGGGCACCTTCCACTAGACCAGGTTGCTCAGAGCCCCATCCAGCCTGGTTCAAGGGTGGCTTGTGAGTCTCTGGAGGCTGGTGATGCTCTGAGGAAGCAGCACGGCATTTGCTCTGCTCTTAGCGAAGCTCCTGCTTCAGGATCTGGCTGCTGTCACGTGTAGACCCCTGTTCTGGCTTGGTAGGCAGCTCTTGGGTTAACATTGACCCTTCCTTTGTGCTTGCTGTAGCACTTGTCCTGTTCCTGGTGAACTGATCTTGTGAAAAGCTCAGAGAAGTGCCGGAGCCCGGAGAGCAGGGGAAGGAAACTGAGCCCGCTTTGGTGGCAGGACTTGGTGCATCTTTGGCTCGTTTATGTGGCTCCTCGCCCTGTCTGCTGGAGGTCTGATGCTCCCCTCTTCTCTCCTGGCAGCCCTGAGTCTCAGCTGGATCCAAAGGGAGCTCTCTCAGGGAGCTAAAGCTGTGGTGCTTAGGGACACGGTTTAGTGGTGGTCTTGGCTGGACTCGATCTTAAGGGTCTTCTCCAACATGAATGATTCTGTGAATCTATTCTAAACTGGCAGAAAATCAGGTTTGCTTTTACTTCCGTGGACTGGCATGTTGTGGTCTTGGGTGAGCGTTTGGGTCAGCAAAGGTGGGCGAGGGCCACTCCTCGGTGTCGTCAGGCTTGAGCGCAGGTGAAACCGTGCCTTACGGTGAAGGTCTGCGAGATAGCCACGATCACCTTGCAGTGGCTAGGTACTCATGGTAGTCTGGGCCCCTCCTAAGTTAAAATCACCTCCCTGCAGAGACAGAGCTCAAGAGCAGGGCCGGGGCCTCCCCTCGGTCACGGTGGGTCCGTCTGTCAGCACAAGCGTCACCCCGTGGGAGGGCTGAAGATGCAGGAGGATGGGGGCAAGGGGAGGAGAGGTCGATTTTTCTCTCGCTCTGCCCAGGTTGTCCTGTCCACCGTGTGATCGTTGGCTTCTCTGCTGAGCCTGTTCCACCTGCAGAAGGCAAAGGGCCGAGCTGGTTCGGAGGGGTCCCGGGGGCTGCTGCTGGCAAAGCGTAAATGAGGGATGGAGCGAGACCTCCCTTTTCTTGTGGTTGGTTGTGGTTTAAACCCAGCCGGCAGCCAAACACCCACCAGGGCTGGAGGAAACACTTGGAGGGGTAAAGGTATGGAGGCTCGAAGGCTGAGATAAAAACAATTTTCATAATTGTCATGAAATAGAAATTGAAATAATAATGATAATAGTAAAAATAGAATAGAAAATGAGTGATGCACAATGTGATTGCTCACCACCTGCCGACTCATGCCCAGCCCATTCCCGGCCAGCGATCCCAGAGGAGGGAAAATCCCAAAACTGCAATCCCAGAAAAGAAAGCGAGCTTCCCAGCCACCCCCTCTCATCTATGCATGGAGCATGGCGTTGTATGATATGGAATATTTAATTGGCCAGTTTGGGTCCGGTGCTCTGGCTGTGCTCCCTCCCAGCTTCTTGTGCACCTGCACA